AACAGCACTGATTGAATGTGTTGTGGTTTTGAAATCCATTCAACGAAAAGCACCAACAACAAGTTTTTCATGTTTTTTTGCCCATACTTTCTATTCAATTAGTTCGATTTCACAGTGATTGAGGTCGATCATTTATTCATGAACTAATGCAATGGCTCTTTGCACTCGACCGCAAAAATCTTGCAAATTGAGTACATTTCGAAGTGGATCATAAACATTTATTTTGTAAACAACGAAAAAAACAACATATGATGAGCTTTAAATCTGAACCGGAGAAGGGGCGGAAAAGAAAATCGAATTTCCACTCGGTTCAATTCAACCACATTTTTGATTAAGCCAATGTTGCACGATTGTAGCAGCGAAGAGAAAAAAAAACAGAGAGAAATGGAATACAAATGAGAGATGAAATCGTGCTCATTCAACTGTCAATGGATAAATTCCGACACAACCAATGGTCAATGAAGGAGAGACAATACGCATGCAAACAATTAAATAAAGAGGTAGAAAGAGAAAAATAAATAATGCGATATAATTTTTTTCATTTCGTAGTATTATTATGTATAATTCCTGCAATGATTCATCATATTTTCACGAGGCTAAAACAAAAAGGTCACGCGCCTATATCAAACCGCTATTTTCATTCATTGAATATATGACAATGCACATAATATCATGAATTTATTTATATGTTTGTGTATGTCTTTTTTTTACTGTGATCGAGGGTCCTTATATCATTTGCTGTAAGACAATTTAACTCAACTGGAAAATACAAAAAGTGGCCAGGTCACAATAATGATGGTAGCTCTTAAGCTGAACAATGAATCGAACGACTACCAATTCATATGTTGTAATAATAATTTTTGCTTGACTAAGCAAAACCCAAACAATGAATAGAGAATGAAAAAACAACATACTCGCGCCATGACCTCTCTGCAATACTTGAAAAGGTATGCGAAACTCCAACATGAGTGCAATCGGCCAAGCGATAAATGATGTTCACTTTTCTTCCTTTTACTCTCTCTCCGTTTTCCAATGGAGCACACATAAATGCTGACATTGATACTACCAGCGCATTGACTAGCTGCGATTCACATAAGCGAGAAGCTAGAACATGTGAAATCGAGCATATAACACCGAAAAAATGTCTGATTCATTGTAAGGCAGCCGGCACTTTGAATTGTTCCGCATAATATTTTTTTTTGTTTCGTTTTGCCGCTGTTTCGTTTGAATTATAAATTAGAAATTTTACACGCATTTTTTTCCCAGACCGGATTTATTTTCGATTCGTTTTTTTTCGGCGTCTGGTAGTTCATTTTCGTTTTTTAGTGGAATTACTTTTTTTTGGTGTTCATTTGTTCATCCACGTTTTTTGTTCATTTGATATTTTGTACATTTGTTTTTTTTGCTATAAAATCATACAATTTGTATTACTTCGAAGCCTGTGCACCAAAAAAATCCTTTTTTGTTCAAAATGTAAGGCAAAAAGTCAATGGCATCACTTTGTTATGCTCCAATTACATCATCAATGACTATGACTCCCATGAAGGCATGAAATTGTTTGGGCTTGTGAATGGGTACAAAAAGTTTATGAAGATTTTGAGAGATGAAGACATTCGGATGCTACGTACATTTTTGCATTAGATTGCTCAATTGCTTTGCCTATAAAATTGGCCGATTGAATAAGTGCTGTGAATGGCAACATTTTCGTAAATCCATTCGATGAGATATTGTTAGTCGTTCATATGAACGACCCAATTCAACGAAAGACAAAAACAAGATTGAAAACAAAAGTAACTGATTGTTATGACGATACTGACGTATTTTGATGAATCAGTGTACTCGATCGTTTCAATTTGTATATGTGCCACACATCCAATTACATGAACTTTGACGCCGTCAACGATATTTCATTGATTAAATTCGTGAGGCGACCATTATATTCCGATTAGGTAAAAGAGAAAGAGAACTTCTTTTGATTAGTACGTTGTGTATATATTCTATGCTACATTTATATTTTGAAAAATGAATAAAGAAATACAAGCACGCCAATTATAACGAAAAACACTTCTTTGCTAATGCATGTTAGAATCGTCTGTCAGCAGAAAAAAACGGCAAATTAAATCGAATGCAGTTCACTAGAACCGAAAAAACATGATCCATCTAATAACAGATGGCCGATTACATCAAATTATGTGATTTTTGAATGGGAATCACAAAGAACATACCAACATTTTACTTTCATCACGTTTTCAGTATCGGATCCGGATTATACTATTCTTTGTGTTCTTTTTTTCCTACTTTCCCTTTGGATATTGTTTTGCTTCACGATTTTTTGCCATTTTTTCTACTTTACGTTTCGCATTGGGAATTTTTAATAAAAGTTTTTGTTCATTGTACGGATTCTACTTGCTACTAAAACCGTAATTGAATTCAGAGAATGGCAGAGAGAAAGAATGAAATAGAGACATTTTGTGTATGTACGAGAGAGAGAGAGAGAGAGAGAGAGAGAGAGAGAGAGAGAGAGAGAGACCGAAAATGTGGCAAGTTTGCGTTCTAGTAAAAGCTTTTAATGCTTAGGTAAACTTAGTTTATCACTCGTTCATCACAACACCGGTATCAAAAATATATTCATAAAATGTTAAGCTAAAATTGAAAAGGAGCTACCATAATCACTTCACTTGCATTAATATATTTTGTCACAATTTACCGATAAATTAAATTAAATTCGAATGAATAATTTATGTGCATGTGATGCATGTCCTGTGCGCGCTCTTTCACCATGTGATATATATTCCCTTTTTGCTCGTTGCCGTCTCCGTGTTGTCGTTCGTTGAAGAAACTTTTTCAGTTTCCACGAGAACGGAGAGAGAGAGGGAAAGTAAGCGAGCGATAAAGTGAGAAGGCGAGTATATATGATTCTCAAGCTGATGCACGAAAATGTGAATATTTTAATATGCTTGAGTTAAAATAGATAAATTATGTGGATACGAAAATCCACATATATAAACACAGACAAAGGCATTGCGTGCAGTATTAGGTGTGTGTGTGTGTGTGCATAGTAGTTAGTCGGTTGTGGTGATGTCGTATCCGAGAAGTGGTACAGCATTCATTCAACCCTATACGCTCTTATCACCACAAAGAATGCAAATTTGCTAGCTAGAATACCCACAAACTCTCTTTCACATACATTGCCAGAGCCGCAATTTATTCAATGATATAAAGACGACACGATGAGATAAGTAGCGCACTCATGCAAATTTCCAGTCAATTATTTGACCCAAAAACAGATGTCATGAAATAATTAGCTGGCAAAACTTTTTAAAAAAGCAAAAGAAGTCTTGCCTTCACCTGATGCTGGTGATGTACACTTTTATTTGAAACATACACTCAATTAGAAGACTATTATCAAGGTAACCGAATTAAGTTTAACGGTGTCCAATTCTTTCGTTTGTTTGGTTTTCGGTGTCGAATTTTCATGAGTCCATCAATACGGGTGCACTGTTCAAATATCCAGTCAACTTATGTGGCAGATTCATGTTGGATTTTCGGACCGGCAATATTTGATTTTAACACTTCCAAGAATTTGCGTAATCATTCCATCGTTCCATACAGTTTACTTTCTTTTCACTCTCGCTCTCATTTCGCCGTTCGGTAAATCTGAAATTCAACCAGCGAATAATGATTTCGTCTAACACCATTCACACGGAGAACGGACAGTGAACGTGCATCAAAGAGACCAACGTAAATTATAGGGAAAAAACGAGCGCGATCAAAAGCAAAAAATGATTTCCAAGGGAGAAATGAAAAATTCACACATATACACACTTACACAAAGAAATATTACACATAAATTCCATTTTAATGCTCGTTTAATCTGTCTCTTTGTCTCACACTATCTTTCGTTATAGCATTCACTTCTTTAGTTTTTTCACTTTTGTGTACAACTGGGGGCGGCATGAGGTGCGGGGGTGATGTAAACTGTTTTGAATATTTTAATATTAACGAGTTTACACAATTTGCATTCAAAATGCCATTCATGATGTTTGTTTGTGCACAGACGGCGATCCACTGACGAGATTTTCGGTGTGCCAATGCCTGAAGTTTTCCAACCAAATCGAAACCAGATAGAAAGAATCAAACGAAAAATAAAACGATAGAATGAAAGAGAACCGAGTAAATGTGCGACCGCTTGTTGTAACTTGGAGATGCTTCCATTCATTTGCAAAACTTGATAATAGTCTCAACTTGGTAGTTAGTTATAATATTTCATTCATTTTTCGACTTTCTCGTTTAGGGTATATTCTTTAAGGTTTATTTTTGGCGCGCACTCTGCTCAAAGTTCGAAACGTTTGTGGGTGTCGGTGTGTGTGTGATAACCATGTGGTATTGTACGGTGGTTCGACTGCTGTTACATAACCAAAGACAGTATTACTTCATAACATTAAATTACATTTTATACATGTGATCTCACCATTGAAGTAAGCACATCGCTGGTATCATGACCTTTTATACATTATATTCACACCACTCACTCATAAAATATGTTTCGCATAAATTATTGAAATTTCTTCGCCACTGAAAATAATTTTCAAGCAACTTAAGTTATTTGCGAATGAGCGCGCACACAAATATTTCAAACGTATATCGCCACATTTGCACGTTCATTTTTTGCAAAACACTTTTTCACCGTACGCTATTTTATGAGGTAAATCTAATAGGACTCACCATTAGATCAAATGCGTAAGCGTGTTATGACGATTTCCAACTCGATAAATTGAACTTGTTTATAATTTTATTTTCCATACTTTTTACACTCTCTTCCGAAGTATCGCATTTCATTCTATTTTTTTTTTCAACTTAGAATGAAGAAGAGATTGGCACGAGAAAATATTTTTTAGACATTTTGACCGAAACCCTCGCGTTGATCTATACAAATAAGCGTCAAACCCATAATGAAGATTTATTTATTTTTCCTCTTCTTCTTTTTTTATTCTTCACAGATTTGCCGAAATTTGGGGAGCCACTTCAAAATATCACGGTCCCAGTTGGACGCGAAGCACTTTTATCCTGTGTCGTGGATAATTTGCAAACATACAAGGTAATTGAAACTCATTTTTCAAACGGTTGATCCGAAAATTTTATGCACACCGTAGCTTTTGAAGTACAAAAGCAAACATTTTTAACACAAAAACAAATTGCCTCACTTTGGCCGCATCATTTTCGATAATAAGATATTTCAATCTATTTTCCGACATCTTGACGCTAGGGATAGATGATAAAGCGGGAATATTTAAAAACAAAAACAAAAGCAAAAAAAAAAAATGTAAAACAAACCACAAAATTGACATCACTTAAATGTTGATTACATCAGCAATTATAACGGCGCACTGGCCGATTCTCCCAATTTATTCAAAATGTGAAATCATTAATAAACATTCTGCATTTATCCTCAGACATGATAGTACTGAATTAGTATTCACCGTGCAATGCACGAGCGCCAATCAACTAGACAAGCAACAAATAAAATATTCAAAAAATGCTATCACTGTGACAGTTACGAAGGAGCCATACGCAAAAATAAAATTGAAACAAATTGTCTGAACATAATAATTGTATCAGCCACCAAACGATAATTTCATCAGTCGCATGCACCAATCCCAATGCTGTCAATTTACATTTACGCACGATGTGAGTCTATGATCTTCCCCCACATTCGATGTACGGCATACAAAGTGGCTAAACCAAACCCAAAGATATTGATACTTTATTTATACAAATTGAAATGTATTTAGTCGCTTACGGTAGAAGTGTGTGGTTGGATGTGACGCAAGATTTTGTTTTCTTCTCTTCATTCTTTCACATTTTAATTTTACCGACGCATCTCCCTATGAGATGAGAGACTCGCAGCCATCGGCTTCTATCTATCGTTGGCTGAATCAACAAGCACGCACAACAACATGGCACAAGCAAAAATTGCCGACGGGCATTAGACGAGGTGTGTGTGTGTGTGTATAATGGAATGTTCAGCTCAAGAAAATTGCTGCTTTCACTAAAACGAAAAGATGTCAAAAAATTTAAACATATTATAACTGAGAAATAATTCAATTTTCCATGGCAGAGTGCGCACGTACGTCGCTCGAATAATGTTGTACCATTTTCCAGTTCATTTTCGATTCACCGAATTTGCGATCGCTAGCACACATTTTATCCGATTTTTTTTTTCACTCTAGTCGAACAAAAAAGAAACAAATGATGAAGAGCTAAATTATCAGTAGCAACAGCAATTGCGACGACGACGACAGTGGCACAGAGAATGTATCAATCACGTGTTCGGCGGAAGCACGAGCAGCAACTGTAGCTGTAAAAAAAAAAGATTGGCCAATTGAAAGTGGAATGGAAGGGAATGTACTATGAGCTAAAACAAACATCAAAATTCCAATCGAACCAAAATCATTATCTTTATAATCGCATCGAAAACCACATACACCTTAAACGCCCCAAACACACATGCCATACGCCAGCGAAGAGAGCGCGCCAGAGAAACAAATAAGTGCATACGTGACTCGCACAACAAACATTCGATTTCTATTGAATCACTTTGTTTTTTCATCGCTCAGTCGGTATTTGTGTGCGAGCGGGTTTTTTTCTTTCTCACATTTTGCCATTGGGGTGATTTGGTGAGTGTGTGTGTGTGATTGTGTGTGGAGTTTTTTAAGTTCGATATCGGTTGCCGACGCGCAAAATGTTTATTTCATAAAGGTCTTTTTTTGCACATCAAGCGATGTGCGTGTTTTTTTTTCTAAGAGCAGATTGTTATTGCATAAAATCATCTAAATACTTTCTGGCGGAAAAAACCGTAATAGAAACGCGTGCCCACACACATGAACATTTAAAAAAGAACGGGTATTATAGGTAACCGTTTTGAAAATGAAAAGCTGTAATAAGCTAACCTCACGTCGAAAATATGCTTGTGTGAAGAAGAATTTTTTTTTTTGAGGAAATGGTGAAACAAAATCAAAGACGAAGCGTTCAAAACAATCAAGAAAGAAAATGGGCGAAGCGAGTAAGGAAATCAAGGTTCGTAAGGTACAGAGAATGTGAGAAAAAAATGAAGGGAGAGAAAAATGAACCCAAGTGATTTGATTTCATGCGATCGGAATGATGTCATGAACTTTAGCATGTGAGATGAATGTGATGTTGTGAATAGTAGTGAGTGGGAAGAGGGATAGAAAAAAGTTGTACCAGCGACTCGTTGGCAACGAAAATAGATAGAAAAAGAACCAGTAAAGTTAACCACAGAGGTATCATTTTCACGGAATCATGGAAGGCTGCTAAGCATTTGACTCAATCATCGTTGAAAATTACGATTCAAGCAAAAACAAATACCAAGAGTGCATACCGGAAAAACGCTACTAAAACAGAGTGAATGAAATAGAAAATCGTTATCACAATTTCCAAAGACCCAGCTAGGCAATGGACATGCTACATTTTTCCTAATCGTGGTCGTCGTTTTTTTTATACCAAAAATTGACTGCTTCGATTGGTTCACGTGCACCGTTCAATTCACGAAGAATGTAGCGCAACACGTACACAATTTAACTATTTTAAGTGAACATTGCAATACCAAAGAGAATTTCACTTCTTTCTTTCTCTCTCTCTCGTTCACTTTGTTGCCAAACACTTTTTGCTTTTTGCTCTCTCCTTTCAAGTGGCTTGGCCTTTTCCTTATCCTTTGCTCACTTTTTCTTGGTCTACCTCTCTCTCTCTCTCTCTTGATATGATTCTTTTTCCCTGCTCGGTCCAAGCAATTCGAGCGCAATGTTTGCAATCAACACACAAACGAAAAGCAAATAAAAGCGAATAATGTCTTTGCTATTGATCTATGTTGGTAGTAACAAAGGTAAGCAGTTGTAGTACAAAATGACTGTAGACAATTTGCCATTACACAAAATATTCGATTAAATGCTTGTTTGGTTCCCACCGGTTTCGTATAAAGTCTGACGCGTACTGCATACACACCGGAGCCAAGTTGGCCCATCGACAGTATTACCAATTTTGGACTTTTACAAAACCAACATTATTCTTTTTGCCATTGTTTTTTGTGTACGGGAATTTATCCGCTTTTGTTTACAAGCTATGATTACGATGTATGATTTGACACAATCTTGGCAAAATGCATTACACACACACAAACCACCAAACGGAATAAAGTGCAACCATGTTTTTGTTCACTGACAGTTATACATGAAATGCTGCCACGGAGGGGAACAAAACTGGGAAAAGTGCGCTTTTGTTAGTTAGTTTGGAAAAGTATTTAATGCAATTGGGATGAAAAAAGTGAGCGAGACAAAGTCAACTCTCGCAACAAACATGCACATTCTGCAAAAAGTGTCGCCTGTTGACGAAGAAAAAGAGAAAAATCCTACGTAACATAGAAAGAAGGGAGGAAGATGCTAGATGAAGAAAGCGCATAAAATGTTTACCATTTTAGAGAAAATCTACTGCGAAATTAATGTTTATGTGTATTTTTTTCGTGTCGCGTTTTTTCATCGTGTACTTTTTTTACTCTTTTTCCGCTGTACACATTATACGCACTGAATGCATTGAAACCAGTTGAGAATATGCAATGGTTCTTTTTGGCTCAAGTTATGTGCACGGGTTTTTCCTTTTCGTTTTCTTTTTCATCATTCGCTACCGTCATTCAATTGGTTTAACTTAACCGAAACACACTTAACCTCTCTTAAGGTTTTTCCTTCAATTTTCTCTTGTGATGTGGTGTGGTTTCTCACTCTAACTCTCTGCTATCTGCCATCGTTAAAGAAAAGAAAAACATCGTTCAGTGCTTTCAATCGGTGAAAAGCCAAGCAAATTTCAATGTGCAACCATTTCGAAGGGCGCACACTTTAATAATGTTGGGATGATGAAGAGGTAAAAAGAAGTTGATTTGTAAATGGAAAGCGACGTATATAGAATGCCAAAATGTACGCGAACTAACATTAACGACGAACCCGATGCCATCCAATCCTTGTTGTGTGCACCATTTCTCTTTTTTTTTCGCATGCAATGAGAGCACTTTTTTTCCGCACAGATTCCATATATTCACATCTATACATACATAAAGGGGAAAAAATGGGAAAGCGAAAATTTAACGCCCGTTTATCCTTATAAATAGCTAAATATTCAATAGCTGAACATTCATCCACATTGAGCTGATTTCCTTTCTCGCGTTTCAGCGAGCGCATTTCTTAAGCGCTTTCCCTTTTTCTCAGCTACTTCGATATTGTTGTTGATGTTGTTTTATGTACACTGTTTTTTTTTGCCTTTCTCTTCTATGTTTCCCTCGTGATATTTTACCGAGCATGAATTTATCTGCTGGTGTTTTGTGTTTGTGACTGTGCATATAATTTATCAAAGTGACATGCTGTTGTTGCTTTTGTAACTACCGTCGCACCACCACTTTTTCATTCTTCTTCTCGTTAAATTTACTTGCCATCGCCGTATTCGTTGTCAATGGTGGTTTTGTTTTAAGTTTCATACAAAACGATGAACAACAACAAAAAATTGTGCACATGACACACTCCAAATCACTTCGTTTTTGAATAACTACAAGACAAGAAAACAGAAAGGAACATCGAAAAAAAAACGCACCGCGCACATAAAGAGAAATAAGCAGCGTAGCTTTTATTTTCTTTATTATTATTTATAGGAAGGTAAAATGCGTCGAAGAAAACTGAGTATGATAAAAAGAAGAATTATACGGAATGAAGTAAAAAAAACCACCACCACGCAAAGATTTGATTTTAATCTAAATTGTTTTTGACGCAATTATGTAAAGTACGTTTTTCTCTCTTTACGCTTCCGCACTTTCATGGATCGCACCTCGGTAAATGGCCACAAATGCACACCATTTAATAGCAATCGGTTTGTGTATTATCTTCTCTTACCTCTTCTTGGTCCTTTGAAACTCTGAAATTTTGTTGTTGCTCTCACACTCTAGCCGTCTTAGTTTCGATCTTGGGTTTCGCCGTCTTCCTCTCTTTTGTCTTCGGTCATTTGTTTATCCAAAAACCATTTCCAAAGTACTTTCAATGTGACAAC